ATACATGCTCATCAAAACAATTCAGTGAATTTTAAAGTTAAATACAAAGTAACTTACTTTTCTTCGATTTTTCGTCTTTTCTTCTTCGCTCATTTTTGCTTGAAACTCGATACCACGATCTTGACGACAGACAGCACCAAAGTTACACGAATGTTCAGAAAACGAGCCTTTTTTCTTTTCGCTAGACGTGTGAAGAATGCATTCTATTGTTCAAACTTTTGTTTATGATAACTGGTCCATTGTAAATGAGCGTGGGAAAACATCCACAATTGTTAACCAAACCAGACATCACACGCACCGGCCAATGGAAACCCATAACCCTGTTTAAAAGAAAGCTGGGTCAGTAATTGATTCTTGATAAAAAGTAAGACAAGGGAATTATCGGTCGTGAGACAAGCGTGTCTTGATTGGCGGTTAAGCAGATAAGTACGCCCGAACGCTGGAAGTCGCGTGTGGATCACAAGATAGCTACAATATTGATCCACAATACGCACCGCGGTGAAAAGAAATGAGCATCAGGGTCGTGGGAACAGAACATTCTGATTGGCTGTGGAAGCATGCTGCCTTTTTCAACGATTTTTTAATGGTTTCATGGGTCACTCGTTCCGAAAGGAATCTGGGTTCTTCTGTTTTCGGCACACTCCTGTTTTGTATTGGATGCGAAGTTGGTATAAATAATCAGCAAACAAAGCAAGTATTTACAGATCACACGAAAGCTTTCTCTCTCTCCATATTTTCAACAGCGCAAAACAATGACCAGGTCAAGCACACAAAATAAATGACGAGTCTTTGTTCGAGAGTGAAAAAGATTTTTAAGCTGATTTTGTTCACATTACACTCCGTTCTCTAATGCTACTGTCACGATTATAAGTAAGTGGAACTATGATTTTCCGCATACTGTGTACTGGTTCTGAATAGGACTGTTGTTAACAGTGACTGACGTTATAATTATTGACAACCTGTGAGGTAGTCATCTTCAATTCAGAGTCGAAATGAGGTGTATATCGTCAGTTTCTCGTCAGTTGATGTTATTAAACTCTGTTTATTGACCGATTAGTCAATTAACTCGCGAGATACAACTCACTTTGACTCTGAAGATGACTACCGCAACAAAAACAGTTCTAAGGACTACACCCTCCCACACGATCATATTCCACTTACTTAAGACACGACGTTTGGTTTCAAACCATTCACTCTGTCATGATTATTGCTTGAATGAAAGCATGTTGAATCTTGGATGTTTGAAGCAACCCTTCCTGAAATGCCTGAAATTCCTGCAGCGTTTGGAAATACCTTAAACTTGAAGTAAACTTTGAAGAGTCAAAGAACATTAATTACAAGATAGATACGTGCTAAGCTGAATATCCACTAAAAAGTATTGTTAAGTCAAGAGGGAATATAACTTGTTCGACTTCATTGAAATAAAAAAGGTCCTCGATTCCCGGCCCTTCATTTCAGTGCAACTACGGAAAACAGCTATAATTTACAAAAATTGAACAATAAAACAAAAAGAAAGATAGGATGTGACAAAAAGCGTTTATTTTTTCCAGAAATCTCAGTGCCCGCAGGGTTTTTAAATCGCCCACTCCTTCTACAGAAACTGTGCGAGTGTCTTCTGGTAGGTGTTCAAACGGCACATGATATTATGACTTTTATCTCTTATTACCATGTTCTTTATGCGGTCTGCTCATTGAAAAGAATCACTGAGGATGGAATTCATTTATCTATTACTAACTATTTTGAGGAGAATAAACCGTCCTATTACTCAAAGTTACAGACGTCAAATCCTTTGTCAAGTGAACGATTACTCAAGAATTTTCCCTAACGACAGTGTTTATTAAATGTTTGAAACTTTCAATTGGTTGTAACAATGGAAATCAGCAGGCGTTAAATTCCTATAAACTAGGTCATGATGATATATTTACTAACCCAGCCGGCAGCATTCAGCGCGTGCATGGGCGTATTAGAAAAGTTGCTTCATTTGAAAATGTTTTGTTTAATAATCTCATTTTAAAGGGCAGATGTTTTCACTGAAGCTGGTACCCCGAGTATAAACGTAACAACCCAGAGAAAGATATTCTAGTTGAGAAAATACAAATATATAGCCTTGTTTATAGGAGAGAGGTAGGGATTCTAAATGCAGTACCCGCTGTTAGTCACCGTAAGATAGAAATGCAACTATTTCAGATCTCTGAAAAAATCACCGCCTAGTGATTAGCCGCTGATATTTGGGGGTAGAGTAGTATGTAAATATTAATTCTCCTTTTAACCCTTTCAGATTTTTACCTTAGGGTATAAAGGGTTAATGCTCTTGAATAAAGCCGAATTAACTTGAAATCTTCCGCGGGGGATGCTATTTTTGTGTCGTTCTATTGCGCTATTTTAATTTGCCGTGTTTGCTGTCCGTCGCCTTCAGCAAAAAGCAAACTAATTTCCTTTAACTTTAATTTCAAGGTCAATTAAGTTGGAATTACGTAAGTCTGTCGTCATTTTAGACTTGATCGCCAACTATAAAACAAAAGTAAATCTCTAGATGTGCAGTTTCAAGCGAAAACAGGCCATTTCCGAGTTCCTAAGGGACGGACCATTAGAAACGTTATGGGGGGGGGGGGGAATTTTTGGTTTATTTGCATGAGAATATAATAGCAAAATCATTTTCATATCAATGGCTTCACACTTAGCCTCGCTTTGAAACGGAGGCTTAAGAGCCTCGCTTTGAAACGGAAGCTTAAGGCAACAGGGAAATGGCCTATTAGAATGAATGGATCGAGCCGCACATCCCTCATGAAGATGACTACAGTAGCACTGCTTATGGAGAAGAAACAAGTCTCTAAGGTCCAGGACTTCCTTTCGTTGTCCAATCGTTCGTTACAAAAAAGTCGAGTGACTCTGGGTACGAGAATGGAGAAGGCTTCAAAGCGGTCAAACGCCTGAGGCGTTTTTGTTTCAGTTATTTGATGCAATTTTATTTACCGTTAAGTAGAGACATAGACAAGGATGAACAATTTTTATTTCGGTAATATTAAGCTTTCTTCGAGAGAGTGGACGATTTAAGATGAACTTTTAATGTATTTTTCTTTACATTTTAGAGAAAGAATGTACCGATAGTTTTACACATTTAGAAGTACTGTTTTTTATTTCCGAAACTTTTCGCATACGTAATCTACACAACCAGTAATGTAAGGACATGATAGTTGCGGTTACGCTGAGTCTCTCACCCAAGGTCTCGACTGAAGTAACAGTGAAAGAATTTACTTCGCTACAAAGCCAGGGAACCATAAAAGTTCATTGACAGCTATAACGACAGCTACCGAGATGTTAAACAACCATTCTATAGCCGGACTGGCTCAAATTTCCGGCGTAAAAGACACAGCACGCCCAGAGCACCGCGGCAAACAAACTTGAGGGTCACCGCTTTAATCTCGGTAAGCAAATGATAAATGTACTACGACAAAAATTCCCCGGGAAGTTATTTTTCGCACCGTGACTGTCGCCAAGATATCGTCTGCTTTGTTTTGGTGCTCACACTATTTGTAGCAACGTGAAACTATTTCCTTTAAGGCGCTAACGTATAAGTTAAGTTCAAGTTGTGACTTGTCGTCCTGTTGATACCAGGCCTAGATTTTTTCTGATTGTATATCGCATGAAGGATATCCTCTTCCACATAGTAATTCATATAGAAGAGCGCGGAGTTCAGATGGTAGGGAGCGAGTTAAATCGTACGCGGGGAAAACGAGGGAAAAAACGAGGGGAGACTGGGGCGAGAGCGAGAGAACGCGTTCCCTCCCCTTTTCCCTCTCTAGTCTCCCCTCGTTTTGTTTTCTCGCCAATTTTTTTCCCGCGCTCTACTCTGTGAACGCCTGGAACAGACTACATGAAGGAAAAATGCCTTGCCTCGAACTTTGCCTTCGTATAGTTAAATTTCAGAACACAATTAGTGACTGCATAAGTGCCTGATTTGATAGGATAGGGAAAATGAAAAATAGATTCTTCTACTTCTGTAACAAATAATTATTCGAAAACTACTTCTGCTGAGTAGGTTTTAATAACGCCACAAGGCATTAAAACCTTCCACAGTAATATTCTTTAAGTAGTTTTAGTAGCGTTGGGCCAAATTCTTACTTTTAAATATTCTTGCCCTATTATATTCTTAAGAGAAATGACGCACCACGTTCACGGCAAATGACAAAGATGAACATGAGACCATTTCCCGCCACTTACTACAGTTTTATGCGTGAAAACTAGGAGACAGTGCGCTCAAGTTCTCGAAACAACGTGAATACATTTAGAGAGATCTACAGTCACGTAACGGCAAATGCCAATTGAATGCCAAATGACCAAGTTTTCTCTTTATGTTTGCCATTTATTTGTAGGAATTAACTTGCACAGCTCTTTTCTACCGATTTTCCATTTGAGAAAATCGCAACTTGAATCTGACGTTTACCGTTTGCTGTAAAAGTGATTCTAAACGCATGCATTAGTAGCCTATGTACAGAACCCCCTCCGCACTGGAAAAATCGGAGAAGGGGCGTCTGTGATTCACCGTTGCTAATAGTGTATGGAGGCCATTAATAATGTCTCACTCTCTCAATAGACCTTTTTACCGATATGGCGGCCATATTGAATTAATTCGATTTAAGGAGTGTTATAGGATGCCCAGGGGGCATGAGCACATTTCGTTTGTATTTTCGAGCGCTTTTCGGGACAATTTTTGTTAAAGTTGTCTTAGAATAAGATTGTTATGGGAAAAAAGATCCTTGTGCCTTTTTCTAGTTTAGTATCAGAAATATGGTCTTTCACTATATATTTCTCGGGAAAAAGGCGATCATTATTACATCCAAACACGGCACAAGGATCTTTTTTCCCATTACAATATTATTCTAAGAAAACTTTAAGAAAAAATGTCCCGAAAAGCTCTCGAAAATACAAACGAAATGTGCTCATACCCCCTGGGCATCCTACAATACTCCTTAAATCGAATGAACTCAATATGGCCGCCGTATAGGTAAAAAAGTGTATTGCTCGATGGAAATGTCGCATGCACCGACATTTTAAGAACTGGAATGACATGAAACATGAAACATTGGTAGGCGAAAACTATTGTTTTATTTATGCAGAATTATTCCAATACACTATTAGCGACGGTGAATCACAGACGCCAAATTTTCCTGAGGGGAAGGGTGGGGAGGAAGGGGGGGGGAGTCTGCACACAGGCTAGTGTATTAGCAATCCTATGGACATCTCTGTCTTTTGCCGTAAACGTAATGCTAGCTATCTCTCTATCTCTATTCCTGTTGTTGTTTTTCTGACAGATGTGAAATTATTAGTCATCTTCAATGAAGGTCATCTGGCCTGGACCTCCCTTCTTCATGTATCGTCTGAAAAATAACAGTCAGTACAATTTAACCAAGAGATGGAAGTTGTACTGCAACCAGGGATGGTATTAACCTGTGTGACAGTTTTCCGAAAGGGAGTAAAGGTGAAATAGGGCACGCGAAAACACGAACGGCGCGCGTTTTTGCGTTTCACGCGCACGATGTGCAAAATGTTGCAATGAACGTTTAACAGGGGCTATGACTGTCACGCTATTTTCTTTCTTTTTTAGAACAAAACTAACACGTGGCTTCGCGTCAATTGAAATCCAAAAAGAGTGTTGCAGTTTTTTAATGCCACGCCAGCAAATATCACCAGAAAATTATTACGTTTAGTACCTCTCTGATGAAGTCAGTTTGATATCTTCTTTAAAACTCTACAGGGCATTTTTTTGTAAGAGTAAAGGTACTAAGTAATGAGTTCAACACAGAATTGACTTAAAACAGCGCGGGATATCCTCGTGACAGCTACAATGTTGGACAAAACTGTTGAGAAAATTGTATAGTTGGACAGCATTTTTCTAAACATCGTAGCTGTACCGGTTCTTCCCTCTCCCCCTTCCCCTGAAAGCAATGTTGTTGTGTATTCAAAAGAAAGCCTGATCTCTAGGTGTTTTTTGGAAGCAACATTGAATTGGGGGAAGGGGTTTTCTTTCCGCAAAGGCGTCGGTTTGGAAATAGTTTTGTTGCGTAGGAAAGTGGACATGATGGGGAAAACTTTCTCAAGTAGTTTTGTCCGGAATTGTAGCCTGCGTAGCATGGCGGTTTTGGTTGAGCGCGCTAAATAATAAAGGCGGGCGAGGGCAGAGAAACCGCGAGGAGACTGGGGCAGGAGCAACTTTTCTCGCGGCTTCGCCGCTCGTTCGCGCGCGCTTCGCCGCTCATTCGTGCTCCCGACAAAACCGCCAAGCTACGCAGGCTACGTGACAGCCCCATTTAAGGCCACGATTCAAATAGAGATTACCAAAACCCCGACTACAACAAAACACACTAGGTAAGCCAAAATAGTTTCTATGGTATTTGTATTGTGTTTAAACCGTTCATTACCTGTAGGCTTTGAACTTGTTACTTTGAGCAAGTTTAATTCTCATTTCTTCTTCTTGTTCAGTTTTGTACTCCTACGGAGAAAATCAAGAGGGCGATCAAAAGTACGTCAACACGCAGAAAACGTCTCTGTTCCGCTACGCCTTCTATTAAGGATGAAACTTACTGCCGTTTTCCCCACGCAGTATTGCAACAATATCAAATTTTATTCTCCAGTGAAAGCAGCGCTGTTGAATTTAATTTAGTAAAATCCAACTAGTGGTCTATTATCAATGCTGCGTTCTGATTGGTTGAGCTACTACTAGGCTATATGTTATAGCCCACTAGTAGCGAAAAGCGCCGGATTTTTGGCGGCAAAAAGGATTAGAGTCTTGCTTTAAGTTGTTTTGTCTAGATATTTTGGACCAACTAGTTGATTCTGCTAAAACAATTATTCCTCTCGCCCTCATGGCCTCTGAGTCAATAGCCCATTCGGGCTCGAGGACTAATTGTTAAATATTGGAATATGTGAAAAAAGAATGACGGATTTTATGTGCGTGGAACACACAATGTGATGGACAAAATAGGGGTTATTTTGCTTCTCTAGCAGACTGCAAAAAATCCATCGAAGTCAAATTCAGTTTGTGCACTCTGTCCGGCCTATAACTAAATTTGTCCACAGAACAGCTTTTACACGTAAGAGTTACTGTCTTTGTGATAAGTTTCTATGACAATAAAAGATTTATTGCAGGCGACAAGGGGAGCCCACAGTCCTAATCTGAACCAACAGGTTGTTATTATGCATGCGTCGCATGTATGTAAGAAGCATTCGTTTGGACTTCCACTAAGAGTGAATGGAATGCAAAGAACGCACTCTGATCACACGTGTTCGAACCTCAAGTACCTTCTATCACTCGTTTTAACATTCTATCAAGTGAAAGTTACGCAAAGAACCAGCGTTGGAGCAAGAGCGTTTTGACCTCCGATTAGAAGCAATAAAATCGCCTGCACTCTCTAACCTTTGGTTATTTACTAGTATTAGTCATAGATTTGAATCAGTCATAGGTCATAAGTTCAAATCCTGTCTGGCATTCAGGATTTTTTGCACTGTCCCGCGCCCACGACGACATCTCTCACATCCATTTCTGAACTTAACCTTCACCACCTTTCATTCTTAAGGAGATTTCTTTTCTCAAGAAGATTTAACTTACTTGGAAGTTAGAATCAATCCACAGCTGGCGTGAGAAGAATACTTTTTTCTCCGCAGCATCTAAAGCATCCCAGTGTATGGAACTCAATCCCAATTTTTTCCTTATAATGTATTGTTTCTCTTCATCACCATACTCCTCCCCACATATGGTAAATTTCCAGTGCCAGCGCAACAGCCATGTAATGTAGCATAAAATCGTATAGGGACTAAAAAATAGAAAGAAAAATTGAGTTAACAATTTTGAGCGAGTAGTTGCTAAGAGATAAGGATTCTATTGTCACAGAATAATATTAAGAAAAAACAACAACTACAAAAAACAAACAAACAGTTAAAAGCTTTTATTATTCATTCAAAATATTTCCCCGATTCTGACTGGCTAAAAGCACACGCATAATTCACCATTACCAGTTACTGATGACCAAATTTGGAGGAATTTTGTGTTTAACGAGGAAATGACGGCAAAAATGCAGCGTTCTTGCAGGTTAATGCACCATTAACCGAGAAGACCTGGGGATGAGGTTGAGTTGTTTTGGTTGTGAAAACAAAAAATGGCGGACATTTCACTCGTTTCAAGGGTAAGAACTAAGCGAAATTATAGCTAAAAACATGGCAAGAACGGCAAGAACACAACTCGAAGGGCGACATCTGCTATTTGGAGAATATTTGCGGAGCTGAACAACCCTAAACGTGCACTATCGATATCACTTAACATCGATGGGGGTAAGCATGTTTTAGCTTTGTTTTTAAACTAGGAATTATTTTGAATGAATAATAAAACAATTATTGAATTCGGCTTTCGTATCATATGAACATAAGATACTCAGCCTCATTCATTAATTGTTAATTAATTGTCCCAAAAATACAGCCTCTACATTGTACTCATCAATCCTCCTTGTGAAGAGGGATGGCTGTATTTGAAGGCTTATATTGTAGGTAAAATTATTGACAACTCACAGAAAAACAATCCTCAGCCAAAGGACATCTGTTATTTTTGGTTTACTGTAACCTCCCCTAAGAAAACAATAAAATATTAGGTCTGAGAGACTATCAAAGAGAAACAAGGCATAGAGTTACACTGTACATGTAATTACATAAATCAAGTTCCGTATAAACCGCAGCCAGGCGCCTTGGATTGACTCCTCAAAAGTTCCTTTCTCTTCACGTCAAATTTTTAAGCCAAAACTTAAACAGCGGTACTGAGGGGCTTTTATTACAAACCAATCCATTTTGCTTTGTTAACTCACTTTTAGTTTAAGACTTTCAAGATGATAAAACACAATCTTAAATGTAAACATGGCAAACAGCTTTCAGGGGCTAGTAATTAGCAGGACTTTAAGGAATACTTCAACCATGTTATTTTTACTTGCCTAATTGAGGCAATGAACGAAATGCTGTGTGTAAACATGAAAGTTGACCAAGATTCAACTTTTATCTTTATGCAAGACCTTTCAGCCATATGTTGCATCTATTTATTGGGCTGCCCGTGAGGGCAACACCCAATCAAGAATTACCTTCCATCTACATCAAAAAAAGACGAAATGGTGGATGGAACTCCCAGAAGGCTTTGCATGTCTCATCCCTCTTTCAACGGGGCCGATTTTTGGGAAGGGACGGATCATTCTAGGATGTCTGGCAAACAGACTTTGAAGTCCATTAAATTTTGGTAGGAACACAAAATTATTGTGTGGGGTCAAAACATCTCCAGATCGATCAATTGATCTTTGCACCCTGCGGGAAGCATACCACTAATTATTTTGTGTCTTTGGGGATTTTTATGCATCAGGGAAACAGGACGCAGAGGTAACAAAATCACTGCATTTCCACTACAAGAGTAAGCGACCAGACAAAGTGTCCGTTATCCAAGGACTTGATGGACAAAGCCTATTTTGACTTTTTGACTGGACATTGTCTGTTGACCAGCCATTACACATTATTTTCAAGCCCTGCAAAGTCTATTAAGGTCATTGAGCTTTGCAATACTTGTACATCTCAACACAACAAAGTTCATCGCGGGAGGAAGGTGTGGAGTTAAAATCATCAAACTCACCTGATGTCCAGAGAGTTTTCTACAACTTCTCTGAGTATGGATTCCTCTTCTTCCTTTATTTCTTCCTGTAACCAAAGACAAAAGAGTAAAACAGTCGTAAGTCGTAAGACTTAGTGGGGTGGTCAGTGGCACTTTCTTAAGCTGCACAGTATGTGGCCACAAATGGCCACCAAGGCCGTGGTGTTGAGTTCAAGGTCAGTGCTCACGTGAATAGAAGTACATGAATACATACACTGTATGTACCTTCAGCGTTTTCCACAACGCCGATGCTGCCTTTTTGTGCTGCATGCTGAGAAGTTAGCAAAGACATATAACAAGAAGAAATTTCATGAAAGAGGAGTTTTCGATAAGGTAAGCAGACACTTCCTTTCAGTTTATAATCCACAATAATTATTTAAACACTAATTGTTCTCCATTTCTCTCATGTATTTTGTCACTATAGTGGTGCAAAGCATGTTTATCAGCTTACTTTATCAGCTTACAGAGGGTAGTGCATAGCTTGTCATCTGGAAACTGTTATAAGTGTAAACTGTCATGTTGTCATGAGCTTATCTGAGCAAGTGTCATGTAGTTGAATTCAATATTAGTATTGTTTACTGTGTGGTTCAATCAAATTTCCACTAACATGATTCTATGGTGATTTCCTCTGTTGATACTCCAATTAAAAGTCCTATCTTATTTACAAACGCACATACCATTCAGTAATTTATTAACATGAAGGCGGTCCTCAACATCAATCGATTTATCGCAAATGTAAATACAATGTTTGCCCACACTTCCTAAGTATTGGAACTACGGCTAGTATATAGTCAGCCGGGTAGACATCCCTATCTTTGGAAAAACTTATAAAGAATCTTCAGTGATTATCTTTTCTGCAGCAAAAGTGGACATCTATCTTAAACTTACAACCAAATTATTGAGAGAAACAGTTGTACCTTAGATTTCTTTCCCTTTTTCAAGTTATTTAAGAGGCCTTCTTCTCTTGCTCTCTGCATAGCCTTGTTTCGATATTTTGGCATTGTTAAGGCATACTTTACAGCTTCATTGTAACGAGACCAGCCATGAAGATACTGAAAAAGGAGAAATCATCTAAACACTCTTGAAAACAATATTCAGATTGTCTTATAAATCTAAGTCTTGGGTTTACTTTAATACCAACCATGGAAAATACATTATTATCACTGGTACTGGTTTAGTGTAGCCAATATGGGTCAGTTGTCTCTTGACAAAAAATTTGAAGTTTCTTGATTGGGTCTTCATAATAATATAAATGGCCACGAAAGATGTACGTGGCAATTTTTTCTGGGATATTGCCTTACAGTTTGTAAGAATTTTCACCTGGCTATGGCCCTGGTGTCACCTGTTCATTATTATAAAGTTTTGTTTGTATTATTAATGAATAAATGAATATTATATTTTATTATTTATTTAATAAGCAACTACACATCACCCATTATTATCATATTTATTACAGAACTGTACATTGCTGTACTGTACCTGCAGCAAAGATACAACTGTTATAGACACTGCTATGACCACTCGTACATCCACTTTTGGAGTAACTCGTCTTCTGTAGTAACGATAATAGTGTCCATATGTCTCCTCTGTTGAAATTAAGACAACATGTTTCAGGTTAATGCAATTCAAACAGGACAGACAGCAAATTGTTGTTGCTTGAAATATCTATGTCATAAGTTCTATTCATCAGTGGGATGCCTAAAATGTGCGCAATTTCACAACAATTGTGAAACCCATTATTGGTTTTGACTCCATTCAAGTCCACCATACTTGAATCTCCAAATTTATGCAAAGGAGCATGGATCACCCATGCTGCCAGCACTGTGAACAGAACTTTCAGGGTCATAAGGGCTGTCACTTTGCTGTTAAGGAGGTGGGAAATGTCATAATTATCATCTTTCTCCTCCTCAGCATCATAAGGCTGAACAAGAATAAACAAAACTAAGGCTAAGAATTTAATGCTGAATTTAATGCTAACAAGAAAAATCTATTGTTTTCTATCAACGTCTTGCATTAGTTTCGGCACGTGTGAAATTCAGATGTTTGAACCGCGCCTAAGGCCCATTGGCATTTAAAATGTACAGGCCATCTGATATTACGCGATGGTGTGATTTCGCACTATTGACCTCAAATCGCATCCGATCGCACATTTCGAGGAAAATCAAATAATTTGTAAAAAATGCTAAATTCAAGTAAAGTAAACAATGAATTCTAACTTTAATTAAACATTTTCCCAATCTTAATGTTATTTAAGGTGATTTACCACTAAAGAAAGCCTTGCAAGACATCTGAAACCTTGTAACTGTGTCATGTAATATTAAACAAGGGACCTTTTTCTTTTCCGGGTCAAGATAATCAGACAAATTTCACAATTTTGTTTTGAAATAGATGTTCTATTATTCCTTTACATTCAAATTCAAATTGCCTGTTAACAACAAGCGGGTTTTCTCCTGTGAAACCTGGTAAAACAATGTAATTAGCCTGAAAAAATTGCATAATTTATCCATGATAGTCCTATATTATCACACAATCTACCCTGAAAATATCCCACAATTTCTGATTTTTTGTCGCACCCTATCAGATGGCCTGAATGTATGTCATGCTCCAGCTAGCCATACTGAAGTCAAAATTGATTTGATCCAAGGAAGATGCAAAATAACAACAGTGGGACTCAATGGAAGAATGAATCATGGATCCACAGACCTTCGTATTACGGAACAATAATTTTTTTTGGTAATTTTTGTACATGTAAAGTATATGGAATGGTACCTGGGTGATCCAACATGTAGTCATAATCTGCTCTTTGTTCATCATCTTTTAAGACCTGAAATATTTGTCAATATCACTATCAAGGACCTCCCTATTGTTTACTCTACAGGCTGTAAAATATCAGCTGAACATTAAAGATATTATCAAATCATAAAGATATTATCTTATTAGGGATAAACTAAATAAAAGTGATAAAAAAATTTATTCAATTTTGAACATTGCATTATTTTGTATATTTTTTACCTCATAAGCTGTTGCAATAAGTTGAAATTTAGCTTCAGCGTCTTCACCCTATAAATCAAACAAGGATGAAATATAATAAAAAAGTCTGATCCTGTTTTATCACACCACTGACAGAAATAGATGTTACTGTATGCTTGAAGAAAAGAGAGTATGGATCTTACCAAACTTATGAAAATATGAATGAGAATGCAGTATAAAAAACACTATTCTGGATAAATGTTTAGTTCTATACTATGTACATGTACATAAAACTCATACAGTGAAACCCCGCCTTATGGCCACCTCAGTAATAATTATGGTCACCTCGTTATAATGGTCACTTTTTTAGGCTGCCAGCAAAACGGCCATACATTTTCTTGTAAAAAACCCTTGTTAATACAGTCACCCGTTGAAACGGCCAAATCTTTTTGGCCCATTGGTGACTGTATAAACGAGGTTCCACTATAACAAATTTGTAACCTTAACAACAATCATCTCTCTATGGCCATTTAATAAAATTGCTTTGTGTTGGTGGACTATCTACACAAGTAATTCACTTTTATGTTAACCTCTACAAGGGATACAACTCCACAGTGGAAACTGCCAAAATATCCAAAGTAAACTCATCCTCAGTCATAGCCAGATACATTTTTGACCAGTAAAATCTGTTCTCAGTTTAAAATGGTAAATGGCCAGGGCCGGTGTGGTCTAAAGCTAAGTTAAGATAACCCAGGGTTGGTGCAATAAGCTTAATAAGCAAATTCAGTTTAATTCTTGCTATTGCAAGAAAAGGAAACCAAAAAAAAAACCCCGCGTTATCACTAATCAGCCTTCAAACAACTAAGCCCTGGTTGAAAAATCACTTCAACATGACTTTATTATTCCTTCAAATCAATAGGTATACCCAAGTTACAGTTGTACCTCACTTTGTATATTCCACATTTTTGTTCTGAACACAGTTTTCCTTATACATTTACACCTCAACAATGACAATAAAACAATTTTATTGGTGTCATTGTACACTTTTATTGACCCCAACAGCCAACCCTTTACAAAAGCCACTTAGTTTGACTGTTGTTTGAGGTATAACATTACTTGTCCAAAAAACAAATTTTTTTTCCTAGCTTAGAGAATCAGATCACCTTTCATTCCCAACATATCGACAGAACAGCAGTTGATTTTTGTAATTTTTTACTGTAAATCAAGAGAATAAGGTAAATATAGGTATTAACCTTCTTGACTGAAATTGTTTGACCCAAAATAAAAGCCAATATGCTGAATGTCTCATGACTCTCCTCTTTACACTTGTCTTAAGATCAGCTGTAACAAATCTTTTTGCATTAAACTTTCATTAACGAAAAAGGTATGTAGTTTTGCAAGAATTGAAGCCAAAGAGGCTCAATATAATACCTTATATCGATCAGGATGATACTTCCGAGCAAGTTTCCTGTACGCTTTACCTATTTCACCCTAGAGAGAAATTAGAGCAACTCATGTCAGAAAAACTCTTGTAGTGTGATTAAGCTGTGATATTTTAATAGTACCGCCAACATCTGCAGTCTATATCACAACAGGTAAGAGTAAAACACTTTAACAACAACACACCTGTTTGTTATATACTAAAACAGATATCAGACAAAAAGTTAAGGATTGTATTATTTATTAATAATTTGCTTTTTTGGCAAGAAAGACCCTAGAATCTAGATATAGGTGCTATCTGTCTTTTAATGCATTAACACTGGCATTTACGTGTTAATGCATTAATTAAGACATCTCAAAAGGCTGACGCAAAAAGGAAATGTATTTGTGGAAAACACACAAGGGCAAGCTGATATCAACAGGGCTAAATCTACACAGCTGTGACTAAAATTAGACATTTTGCGCATCAAAGAGATATTTTTCTTTAAGAAGGCTTTAAATATTTACTTGTAAGGGTATTTTAAAGCCACTATATTAACACTGTATTTGCATAGTAATGGGAAAAAAATGAAAATCGTTTTATTTAACATTCTAAATCATCAAAGTAGTAACCACGAAATCATGGCCAAGACGGAAATCGCGGTTAACAACTGATTATAACGTAACAACATTTGGTGAAACTTACTTTCGATGACTGTCTGTAGACACCAAGAACTAAAAATCAGAAAACAATCAAATCAGTTTAGGAAGAATTAAATTTCACTTAATTGTTTTTTAACACAGCCAATTGAACTGGAGAGTCCCCGTTGTAAAATTCCGGAAAATTCACAATCTTAAGTCGTAAGATCAAGAGTTTTAAGTTGACAAAAATAAACAAAAACTTTCTTACCATCGTAGCAGTTTTCTGTTCCACAATAGAGGCCCTCGATAAAGCCATAAACTGAAGAATTAAATAAAATAAGAGGAAGAAAACAAGCAAAAATTAGCCTGCAAATTAACATGTTCCCTTCCCCGTGATGAAAGAAATGAAATTGGCAAAGGTAAGTCAGCGGTTATCAACAAGTGGTAAATATCCCATGAAACCTTTCGAGATATATTACTGGATCCCAGTCTCTTCAAGGAAGTTATCTGGCAATCAATGGAGAAGACCTAACAAAGAGCAGGTACTAAAGTTTACTACTAAAGTACGTACAGTGTTGGTGTAGGAGTGTAAACGACAACAAGATTACGTGTTGGTATCAGAAACAATTTGGAGACAACTATTTTTGTAAGGTTCACTCGCTACCTCCTTAAACTACAGAAGCCATGGCCTCGTCTAACCTGAGGTATCAAGGGAAAGTTACAATTGTGACCGGAGGCACACAAGGAATTGGGGAAGGAGTTGTCAGAGAGTTCGGTAAGGGAGAAAAGTCAAATATCCGCAGCATTATTTAACTTTAGGGGTTGCCTCTCCTTTAAAATTTGGGGTGATATATTTTACGGGAGGGCTGTTATGCACCTATCATTTTTCGGCCATCCCGTGGCGGGGCGGGGGAGGTCCTGCGTAAATATAACTTTGCATGGAGAGTTTAATAGAGGGGGTTTTGAAAGATTACCCAGAGATGGGGGAAATGAGGGAGGTTTGGTTTACCGCATCCTTGCCGAATTGGGCCGATTTTACAGGGCTCGCACAGTCTTGAAAATTCCTTGAATTTTAGGGAAAGTCCTTGAAAAGGCCTTGAATTCTATTTTTCCTTGAAACGCCCTTACATTTTTGTGCAAGTCCTTGAATTTTCTTCAACTGTGAATGTAGTGGCCTGGAAAGTGTTGTTTAATACGTTTTGGTTGTCCAAGACAGACGATAAATCATGCAATTAGCTCAGCGAAGTTAAAGGTGATTTACATAAAGTGGTTTTTGTCTTATGGAATAATAACCATCAATATAAGACTGTGTAGCATGCATTTGTAATCGAGTTATAGTGCAAATGAACTCGCATCAGAATGCTTGCTGATACGCAGGCTAATTTAAGGCCAGTGAACAGAAAAATTTAGAGAAGTTGTTGGAGCAAACAGTTCGAGCCTTAAAGTCCTGTTAAAATGAACGGTGAAAATGTTTTTTTTTGTGCAATCTGTGAAATCACATTCCTGGTAAAATGGTCCTTGAAAATTGAATGTGGCCATTGAAAAGTCCTTGAAAAGTCCATAAAAAATCATTGTGATTTTTGTATGAACCCTGTTTTAAGTTGTCTTAAATCAAGGATTATATAGACCACTCGTCCAGATGATTGCGGGCTTACCTCTCTCCTAGTGGTGAAAAAATGGCTGATTCAACGGACTGTGTAATCTCAGGTATTCTTTTGTAAATCCATTTCCGTTGTGTTATTTCTTGTATATGCTTCTTCTTATCATGCCAGGCCAGGTGAGCTGGGTCATTATAGTGGCATCTCAAGTTTACGGCTGTGGTTTTATGTTTTTCAATATGATACCCCTCTAGCAGGGTCTGAAATTGCGACCAGCTGGTCACCAATGCTCCTAGAAATTGAGAATTGGCAACCAAAAATTAAAGGCCTGCTGACTAAAAAAGTTTGAAGCAGCCGTTCAAGAATTGGAGGATTTTCCGTTTTTGTTCAAACTTGACTTACAGGTATGTTTTACCCTGCCAACATCATGCAACCGTTATTTCAGTGTTTTAAAATGTTTCGTGTTCAGAACAGTTGAATGGCTGTTTTCGTGGCTGTCGTATTGTTTACAGCGGTTGCTGCTCTGACCGATATAACTTTATGGGTGCATTTTATACACACTCACTTTCTTCTTGCTATGAATATTAACATCACTTTTCCCGGTGCTTTGCAGACTGTGCAAATTTAGGTGACAAAGAAGCAGCTAAAGATTTTTTTAAGGGGTAGATTGATCTTGCCATGAGGAGAAAAGATGTTGGTAACAACATGGCGGCTTCGGTCTGTAATCGACAGAATGTGACTCATGTTTCCCTAGCTTTTGTGGAAGAAAAGAAAGTTTTGACATGATGAACGAATAAAGGAGTAGAGGAGCAGCTGGTTATATAAATCATTCTACCTTTATGGCTTAAATTCCAGAACAAATTCCTTTTTCTCTTCGAAAAGCCATCATCTTGAAACAAAACCAAAAATTCAAGGTTATGCCATCACCGGGAAGTTGGTCTGTTTTTGCATGAGCGTAAAATGTCTAAAACATTCTTTCTTTATCATGTTGTTAAAGAAAAGGAAAAAATTTCTGGTAACCACTTTGTACCATCTGTAGGCATTTTTATTAACTAGCCAGATTGTGCCTGTATCAAAAAGTTATTTTCACACCCTGTCTAGGAGGAGGAATTTCTTAACTTTGATTGCTCTGTGTCCCACAAGTTCCCTTCCTTGCCTGGGGTCCCCCCCCCTCAGGGGATGGCAGATGATAAGTGCATTATTCACTCTCCTCCAGTGGGCCGAGTGTGCTTTTGCACCTGCCTACTAAGGATGATGAGTTTTTTGAAGAAGGGTTTGAATTTTTTCTTTAAAGAAACCATCAAACTCTAGATCCTTTGGACAGTCTTCCTCACAGGCGAGGTTTCTAAATTTGTTGCGTGTGTAGGGCATGGAACGTAAGTGGATGTTCTAAGAGGTCTGCAAATTCAGATTTGCCATTTGTTTTCTGTTAGCATACTGTTGTAATCTGCCATCAGTAAGCAATTTTATCTGAAGAGTGCTGCACAAGTTGTGCAGTACAAAACTAGTCAGGGGTGTAGCTACCTGTATGCATGGTGCACTTGGTATCCAAAAACGTTGAGGAGAAAAAATAAAATGAAACAAATATAACAATACAAAAAAATCAGTTTCCAGTGACGACATTTACTGGTGAACTGAATCTTGAATGATAATATATTTATAGAAATGGCGGTAAAATAGTGGGCATGGCAAACTCGATGCTGTAAAGCTTGAAACAATAATTGTTTTCACCTTGGCCTGTCTTAGCAGTTATACAAAATAAGGCGAGGGTTTGCAAGACATGTATTTCTAGTTACTTGTGCACTTAACCTTCGATTGTAACAAACACACAGACACTACAAAGCGTTGTCAACATGCACACACATTGCACATGATTCAAAAAAATTCTTGTGATCATCATGTAGCTTTTGTCATTACTCTGTAGGTCATGATGTACATGACTAAATTTTCATTTGATTACTATGTCTTGACCTTCACTTTTCTTCTGTGACCCTTATCAAAAAGGGGAAATTGCCTTCCTGTTCTTCTTTTGAAAAGCTGCAATGTGTTAAAAAATATCTAATGTGGGTAATGTATCTGGATTCTTAAAGCCAAGTCTTTTGACATTACCATTCTGTTTTCTAGTTAAAGCTGGAGCCAAAGTCATCTTTTGTGGTCGTGAGGGTATGTCAATTTTATCTGATATTACTGCATGTCAAAGCCCATAATTGTCTAGAACAAATAAATACACGAGTGCATTATGCTTTCTTATTCTGTGTGGTGCTGTCACAGGAAAAAATAACAGATTCCCATTTTTGGATATTTTAGTTTGAATACCCACAAAAATCCCAAATTTGGATCTGAGTGAGACAAGTCTCAATCAGGGAACTTGGTTGGGAATTCCCTGGTTGGGACTTGTCTCACTTTGCCAAATTTGGGATTTTTATGGGTATGGGAATCCGTTATTTTTTCCTGTGTGTTTTCACATCTATTGTGACATCCAGGGATGGATTGTTTTACCTAGCGCTACAACTGGCAAGTTCTTTAAAAGTGGATACACCATTTTAAGAAGGACCATTTCTTACATTCTGTTCTTTTAATGTATATTTATGTCAGTTGTAGTTAATTTTTTGTCTCAGTTAATTTTGTTTTCTAACTAGACAGTCAGTTTTTTTCTAACTAGTTAATTTTTTTCTAACTAGATAATTTTTTCTAGCTAGTTTACTTTTTTATAACTAGGTAAATAATAATTTAACTGGTTACATTTTTTTGGCTGGTTGTTTTAATTTGTTGTTGCAACAAGTTATTTTTATGGAATGTGTTATTTTTGACATCTAACTAATTCTCAGTCCTGAGCTAGGGCGACCTGTGCTTCGATGTATCATCATTCTCCTAGAATCATGAGAATTATGTCAGTCTTGAAAGAAGGTGCCCCTGGTGGGTGGCACATATATGTAAATATTTAGTAATTATTGGACGAGGTTGAGCAAAATATTTGTCAGTGGCGAGCAGATCAATTATTTGCTGAAGCCAAAGGCTGAGGCAAATAATAATTGATCTGCGAGACACTGACAAATCACGATATTTTGTGATAACCGAGTTCAATAATTGTTTTATCATTCACCGAGTTTGTTTTTTAAGGAATATCTTCGGGAAGCGAAGCGATCTGCCATTTTTGCACAAGAGTGATCGCAAGAAGGAGAAAAGCGCGGTTTCAATTATGCATGAGCAGAATAGTATTTGCAGCCAAAAACAGTTGAACAACATTACGCATGAGCACACCATTATTTTTAGGCAGTTATTTAATTGCAGGTCACGTGGTGGGCTCTCGGCCAATAAAAAGGAAGAAACATTTGCATCTGATGATAAATACCTTTTTCAGGAGTTCCCCCTCTCCCACGCTATCTCTATTATATTACAAAATATTGTGTCTTTATTTTTAGTCACAATCAACTTTATTTCTGTGTTATGCTTTGTAGTGGCTGAAGGGGAAAAACTTGAAAAAGAGATGAATGACAAAGGTCCTGGAGAAGCATGCCTTATTAAATGTGACGTTACTAAAGAGGAGGACATCAAGGTCAGTGTACTGTGCTTTCTAGAAACTCTTCAGTCTGAAGTTATTATTATATACCTGCCAACTTTTTCTGAGATGTAGGCGTGAGATTTTTATCCTGGGAGTGCTGGGGTTTTTGAAAACGACAGGATCATTTCCGAAGATTCCCGAAGAAGTCTGAAGTCTTCGGAAGACGTCCGAAGTCTGCCGAAGGCGAAATTATCGAGAAAACGCTTATCCACAAAATCAGAGATCGCGAGGAAGGTATTGTCATTTATTCATTTTTCACATGGTTTTCGTTCCTTACATGGGCCTGAGTTAACATATTTTTGGAAATTGTGTCAAGCAAGACGGCAACAACTCACATTTTTCAATCAGGTGTGAGAAATTGGTCCGCAGGCGTGAGCGGGCGTGAGATTGAAGTTTTCAACCCGCAGGCGTGAGACTGACGCCTAAGGCATGAGAGTTGGCAGGTATATTATTATTATTTGTTGAGTTGAGTTTTCTTATAAACCCCAACATTCTGGTATCAATCATTCTGGTATCTTAGCACCTTTTAGTACCTTCCTTCTAAGTCGACTGATGGTACATTGAATCAGTGAAAACTGAATCTTAGTTCTAGTCTATGAACACAGTCATCCTAACAAATCTGACTCTAGGCTCACTCTGCTAGCACACTTAATCAGCCAATCATCTCACCACAGCTCTCTCTGTTCACCCTGTTTAGTACAATCATTATTCAAAACCAAAACTTCTGGTTTAAATCTGGGGTAAGTATGAACCTACCGGTATGTAGCACAGCCCTCTTACCACATGTTCACGCTGCTACCAGCCACTTAATGAGAGACAAAACCGAGTACTTCTAACCACAGTCATTCCAACATAGCTCCCTCGGAACACCCATCCTTTTCTGCAAAACTGAATTCTGACATCTTAGTGCATGATCACAGTCATCCTAACTCAGCTCTCTCAGCGTACTCTTCTTGTAAAATCATGTCAGTCAGTCATGACTGAATCATATAGCCCCGGTTCAGTTTAAATGTCACGTGGATAAGTCACTGGGTAGAGATTTATCCAGTACATAGCATTGCCCACCTTTTTAAACAACTGTAGCCTGGTCTATGACCTCAGTCATTCCAACACAATGACTTTCAACAGTCATGCTACACTGTATATTGGAACACTCAGTTAGCCAAAACTAAATCCTCTGGTGTGTGACTAGTTGGTGTTGTTGTTGTTTAATTTCTTTGGTCCCAGATTTACGACAGCTACATTAGTGAATACCATATTTGATTGTACCCAGGTGTTCCATCTCCAGATTAGAAGCACAAACGTCATTCAATTAACATTCAAAAAAAGTATTTTTTTTCACAAAAACCTCAACGATAAAGCTACAGACATTCCATAAAAGCTTCCCAAACAATATCTCAATGGTTTTGTCTAATATGTTTTTTATCTTTGACTTCTTTTACTTTTTTGTGGGTCAGTTTTTCTCTTAAAATTTATGTTTAAACTTAAACGGTAAGAAAAGGCTTTCTTTCTTTATGTCAATGAAGAATTTGGTGGAGAAGACAGTTGAAAAATATGGTTGCATTGACTGCCTCATCAACAATGCTGGATGGCGTAAGTAGAGAAACCTTTTTCTTGATCCTTTGTCATAACTAACTGCAAGCTATAAGTATTTATTTATGTATCTAGTCTGAAATTTTGTAGGTGCATTAAATTCAGCCATCTTAATTTTTGTGAGTTGAAATAATAAGGCTTGAGATACTATCTGACTAAATAGACCTTATTCATGATACCTGCCATCTTTGCATGCGCCTTAGGATCACTGGCCATGGGATATTAGCATTAATTATGTCACGTGGTTTCTCAGGGGACAAACAATGAATAAAATTTGCCAATGCAAGAAATCGTGGTTAAGTTTGTTTATTCTCTCAAAATGAGAGGACAATTAATATAATTAAGTCATGCAAAATGTACAGTTCAAGTTTTAACAGGTTCGCGATATTATTACCTGCTCTGAGGACATCTTACGGTCGCTACTGCATCTAGAAAAGTAACAATTAATGATCATTTTCACCCATGATTTGCCATAATTATTCAATCAATCAATCATTTATTTTGACACATTACGTTGAGGAGCTAGAAAACTTGTTCAAAATACGAATGTGTATAAATAAAATCTATAATAATGACAGCTATATGTTATAATATTATTCAATTTTAAAAACAACTCAATAAATATGTAAAAAACTTAGTAATAAAAACGTAAAATATAAAAAGCTAAAACCTACTAAAAAGCCATATACTAAAAATGTGACCGGAAAACTATAAGACACGTTCAAAAAACAGTAAAAAGCTACAATCATGCACTACAATTCAAAGTAGACAGACTGCAAATTATCTTAGTTGCTAAAAAATATATATCTACGTGTCGCCACTGTTCATCAGTAGGATGCCTAAAATGCGTGCAATTCCACGATTGGTTTCGGCTCCATTAAATCCTGTACCAATTGCAGAACATTTTAGGAGGAGCCACCCACCATGTGAGCACAGTCATGGACAATGTATAAGTGAGGAAAATAACGCAAAGTAAAATTAAGACGTTAATAAACGAACTAAATGTACACGTCAATTAAATAAATAAACAAATAATGTGCGCGCTGAAAATAAAATTGTACGCGCACACGTACCGAGATACAACTGAAATACAACACTATGTAATAAATAAGTAATGTAAGGATACGATATGGTGCAATTCAAGCCTGGATTGCTAATCTCATCTCCCGCAGGGCTGCACCATACTACAAGACACGTTCTAAAAAGCTGTAATCATGCAATTTACGTTTGAAGTCAATATCATCACTTGAAAGACGCAGTTGAGGGGGCAAACTGTTCCATAACTTAGTTAATGAATAAGTGAAAGAATTCTTCTTAAATGTAAGATGAAAGTTAGGTAATTCCAGATTCAAGCCCTTGCCTCTTAGCCCATACGGTGTATGCAGGCCTATATTAATAATTTTAAAAAGGCTTCCAATATAAGTAGGTCTTGTACCATTTAAGCATTTAACAAGAAGTAAGCATTTAAAAATCAAATTAAAAAATTTATTGTCTTCAAGATAAAAAGTTCTTCATTTTCTGTTGTTGAATAAACAGACTCGACCACTATTTCTTGCATTGGCAAATTTTATCACTTGTTTGCCCCCTGAGAAAGCATGTGACACCACTTTTATCCCGTCAGTCGTAAAGCGCATGCAAAGATGGAGGGTATCTTGAATAAGTTCTGTTAGGCTGACTGATCAGTCCAGTGAAGGTGGTTGCAAAAACAAATGAAAAAGAAAAGAAAGGTGAGACAAGGAGAGCGGTTCTCTTTTTCTTCAGTCTTTTTTAGTTATTATTGTTTTCATTTTCTTTTACTTTTTTTATTTTTATTGCTGGTGAGCTTTATGCGAGCCAGCACACTATCTCTACAAATATAGTGGGAAAAAGCCAAAATTTGTTGGATGTAAGATCAGGAGCATGCGCAGTCAAGTGGTTTTCTTCTGTGCGATGAGATCACATAAAACGCACATGGACTAGATAGAGAGATTTCAAGAAAATTTCAAGGGCTTTTCCCTTTTATACATCACAAATACATGGAAATAACATATTTTTCTAAAAAAAAAAAGGCTTAGACCCACCCTAATTCCCAGGGCTAATGGTCATTTTCTTCACTTTATATAATATTTTCAAACTGAATTCTCTGTATTTTGCTCCAGGTCTGATGTTAGCACTTAATTTCAGATTGAAACTCCTGGTATTCTTTTGCAAATTTCTCCAGTCTTACTGAGCCTGAACCTCAACTTGACTGTCTCAAAAGGGAGTGCTCATGGTCTACTATTTTTGACTCCAAAAATTTGAAACTTCTAGTGTTTTGTAATTACGTATTGTTTTCTAGGTGTTAAGTTTTTATCAATCCTTTTAAACGTTTACTACAGATCCCCCAAGTAAAACAATTGATCAGACTTCAGCTCATGAGTTTAGAGACCTGCTGAATCTCAACCTTGTGAATTACTTCTTGTTTTGTAAAGTAAGTCTTGTAGGTTTTTTTTAATTACATGCAAACGCTACAGTTTATTTCTTGACAACAACTGTTCTTTAGATTAAGGGGAAGAAGATTTTTGCAATGATTTAGCCAATGCAGTACAATGTATTAGACAAGTATAACGTAGAAAGAATAGCCTGTGCAGCATAGCACTTGGAAGTATTAAATGGGCGCAAGAAAGAACGGACACGCGGGGGAGACACGCCGCGCGCCCGTTCTCTCTTGAACCCATTAATTCCTAGCGCCTGCTATACAGGCTATAGAAAGATGGAGAACTAGCCTGCAAAATGCCAGGAAGCATGCTATCTATTTATCAAGTGTGACAGGTAAGGAGGGTCAATAATGTGAGACCTTGTGGTGGGAGCTTACCATTTACACAAACCATGCACATCAAAGGCTTTGCTCTAATACTTTCACTTTTAAAGAGAGGCCTGGGGCAACTTGGAAAATAATTGGCTTTTTGATTTATTTTTGTTTTCAGTTTGCTTTACCTCACTTACGGAAAACAAAAGGAAACATTATCAATATGTCAAGTTTAGTGGCACAAATTGGCCAGCCTGGGGCTGTAGCATATGTTGCAAGCAAGGTAAATCTTTTATGTTTTTGAGGTCAGGCATGCTTGTTCTGCAGTCTTCTCAAATGTACCATTTTCTAAATGAAAAAGAAAAAACAAACAAAATTTTGAAGAGAAATATTTTAGGATCTTTCCTAGTATACATATGCAGTTAGTTAAACCGTCAATAGGATAGGGGAAATTATAAATACTAACCTTGTGCCGATTTGTGTAACTTTGTTTGTATTAAGGGTGCAGTAACGTCAATGACAAAAGCTCTTGCAGTTGATGAAGCTAAGTGGGGAGTGCGAGTTAACAGGTAATTTATTGGTCGTCTAACTATCGCATGTATAACAGGCATCAGTAATACTGAATTGATCAGTAGCCAAGCGCTAAGTACGGTGTACCAGAAATGAGAACACATAGTATGTTGAGAGGTTAAGAAAATTATTGTTTTTATTATTCATTCAAAATATTTCCAACTTAAAAAATAACACATTAACCCTGAACTATGTAAAGAAACCATCTTTAACTATTGCCTGATCCTTGCCAGGTTGAGGTTATGAAGGGATGTTTTGATAATTCTAGCGGACACAATTCTTTGAATAGCAGTTGTCATCGGTTGCGTGGTGATGGTCCCAAGTGAGTTTGCTAAGGCAACTTTTCTAAATCGTGCCACAATTGCGAATACTGCACGCAATCGCAATTACTGCAATCACAGTCTCGTTGGAAAATTTTTATTAGGGATATACATGTATTTGCTATCTTGCTATGTTTTCTTCAAGTAGTTCGGCTATTTCATCTTTGCCTAACGTGTGAAATCTTTCTTCAGCTCTGCCAAATGAGGGGACACGCTTGCTAAATTACTTGAAGAAAAAAGCATTATATTTTATTTTGTAGACAGGCTAAATTTGGTCAAAGATCGCTAGTTATGAGGAATTAGCTGAGGGATTTTGGCCAATCAGAGAAGGAGAAAATTAAGAGGCCCTGCGCCTAAGAAACGACCGATGATTTCCGGCTAAAAAATAAAATCGGCCGATTTTTATCTCCCAAGTAGAGGTTACCGAATACTATTCAAAAATGAATTTCTTTTGTTTCAGTTTCGCTTTAAACCAAAAATATCGAGCCGCAAACTTTTTCCGTCTGATAGCAGCAAAATCAGGCCTAAAATAAGCCCTCGCAAAAAACGGTTCAGAAATCACTATCGCAACGCAAAATAGCGAGAAAACCACACAGTGATGAAGAAAAAGGCCTTTTAATGCAATATCATTCGATAAACATCGAAAAACTGCCGAAGGGAATAAAAAATAAATTTTCAACAATTGCATATTAAATTAGATGAAGCGTTGGAGTTGATTTTAAAACAATAATTTCTCAAAAGTCCAACGCTGCTGAAAGCAATCACAGTGATGAATCAGACATTGGAGGGATATACATCACGTTTTCGGAAAAACATTTTTCGGCCAAAGTATACTGACGTTGTAAAAACCGTTCAAAGTTACCGTATTTACCGTTAAGTTGCCACTTCGGCGAAACACTTTTCTGTTGCCAATATGGCCAAGGATAGCGTGGTAAACGCTACTTTAAGCCTTGCTAGGCGCTCAAAACCATCCTAAATAGAAGTATATAGAATTAAAAGAGAAAGGAAATGAAAGATTCGCAGAAAAAGAGAATAACTCGAAATTACCATCTGCTAAGGAGAGTTGAATCTTGGAAATGTTGTCGCGTGACAGCGTTCATTTGTCCGAACTGCAGCGGGATCCAAACAAATACGTGAAATATAAGTTTAAAAAAAAACAGTCCTACTATGACCAGAAATCGTGAAGTGAAACAGTTTTATGTTTTTCCTATTAATGATGGTGAATTCAGCCTCAGCTAGTCTCCAAGTACTTTGAAGGTGGGCTGCTTGTATTTCGTTACATACATTCCAACGGACGTTACGGGTCAGCGCGTGTAGGGGTCAGCGGACCTGAAGAAAGGTGACGAAGTTGGAGAGCAACGCCATGCTAGGGGGGACATTGGTAGGTACCCAATACCGAAAATAAATGCCGTATCGGTATTTCGTCGATTTTTGACACGGTATTTCGGTATTTACCAATTTTTCTCACGGTATTGCGGTATTTAATCAATTTAATTTAATTCAGGAAATGATGGGCTCCTGTTTAATTTTGCGAGGAAACGTGAGACGACCTCGAACTGATCGGTACAACGAACGAAAAAGATACCCTACCAATTTCATCACAGATTATCTGTCAGAAATTGTGTAATGGTAATCATTTACCATTAATCTAAAGTCTTAAAAATACTGACGTGCATTAAACTAGCCTGCGTAGCAGGCGCTTGGAAGTAGTGGGCGCGATAGAGAACGGGCGCGCGTGAGGGAGACACGCGAGGGGTCATCCAAACGCCTGCTACGCAGGCTAGCATGAAACAGGAGAGGGCAATGAACAGTACCGCAATACCGTGATCTTCTTTTACCGAAGACCGTTAACCAAAAGGAAGAAATACCGCATACCGCAGGGCTAAATGATATTACCGCAATACCCCACTTTAAAATCCAAATTACCGAAATACCGCATGAAAAAAAGCTCAATACCGTAAGCCCCCATTTCTCCCTCCATGCTGTTGAAGAGGTGATAGAATATTTGGGCTTAAAACATCCAATTATATTTGATGTTTACAATCTTTGTCATAATTATCACAGCAACAAACTTTCATCTTTCAATGTTAGTGTTGAAAGACATGTGCGGGTATTTCGAAATACCTTACAAATCTACAGATCTAAAAAGAGACCTTTTAGCCAAGGTTTCAGTGTAAAGGAATGTGAATGAGTGCAGCAAAAAATAATTTCATTCTGTAACTTTCCTGCGCAAGAGTTTGAGTGCATGGTATGCTGTCCAATCGATAATGTGACAAGTTGTGCGTTGTGCATTGGTTATCATCTAAATATCATAAATATTATTGTGGAAACAAATTATGAAGCATATTATAAAATGAAGTTGCAAAATGAGTGAGGCACTTTCATCGAT